CTACTCGTATCTTTCACTTCGGGACTTTTATCCCCACGGTCAGTCTTGTCTTTTAGAGATTATCATGTATTTATGTCCTTTTGTAACTAATATGAGTTGTTAGCCCATTGCAAAGCAACCCTCCATAAATTAGATATTTTTAGAAACTACTTAGAGATGAACATCTAAGACCAAGAGAAGCTTTGTGTGAGATTTCCCCAGGTGAGATTCAGCCCACGATTCCTTAGCATCTGACCAGATTTTTTTCCCACCTTTTGTGCTACTTTTTAGTACAACAATGGGAGCAATCTCAGAAAAGCAAAGAGACTTCAGGGTATAGTTCTGAGACACCAGCCCCAAGTAGTAACATTCTCAGGACTTACGTCTTATATCACAGTCTAAAATTCAAGTCATTACTCCTAGTTTATTATTTTTAACCTACTCTTTTTCTTTAAGAGGTTTTGCTTTCCTGTAAATTGCTAACGATTAAGCCAAGATGGGAACTTTGTGTGAGGGTATGTGGTCTGGGACTCCCCTGGAAGCCTAAGAGGAAATACACGAACTAGTCAAAGAGCAGAGCAGCGTTTGAGAAATGCGGTAGATTAACCTTTATCCAGACGTACAGAAAGATGATGAAAGGTAGAAGACTCTATTTCTCTCTTTCAGAAGCCTAAATCCTAATGATCTTATTTAGTGACTCATCTTTACTTAGATCTCATATTTTTAATACTTGTGAATCTATAATGTATTCAAATCAGTGCATTCCAAAGTGAGAAACCTAATACCTAGTAGATTTAGTCTTGTCTGTCTGGGCTACTTTAACAGGGTCTGATTCCCTGGAACTGGAGGTACAGACTGTTGTTAGCCACATATGTGTACTGAGAATCAAACCCTGGTCCTCTTCAAGAGCAGCCAGTGCTCTAACCTCTGAATTACCTCTCCAGTCAGCAATTCTTACAGTAATCTTAATAACCAGGTATTATTACTATCCTCCTTGTAGCCACTTCTGCGTTTAGTTTATGCATTTTTTATTATTTTATGTGTGTGATTTTATTGCCTGCTTGTAACTGCACCATGACATGCAGTGCGCAGGGAGGACAGGAGTGGGCATTGGATTTCCTGGAACTGGAGTTAGGGGTGATTGTTAGCTACCATGTAGATACTGGGACTCAAATTTGGATCCTTTGCAAAAGCAGCTAGTACTCTTAACCCATGAGCCATCTTTCCATCCCCAATGAATGAATTTTTAATGAATCATATATGCATATTCATACTAACTTTTCTAATTACTAGTTATGTTATATAAATATCCAATTTTCTGAATGTGTTTTATTTTATTTTACTCAGCACACAGTTAGCTCTTTATGCCTGTGTTTTTCCTGTTTGTATAGTGTAAACAGCAATACATCCAAAACAAAGATGCAAAGTATTTTAGAAAGTTTCTGAAAGCAAAGCTCAAACCTGCTCAATGCTATTCCAAGTTCACGTGAATACAATGATGTGTAGGGAAAACCTGCTGTAGTTTTCCAACATTTCATAGCTTGTCACACTTTCTCGGGATCTTTTGAGTGTTGTTGGCCTGTTCCATTCATACACCATAAAGTTATAACTACATTGGTTGTATCTGTATTAAACATGCACATATTTTATTACTTGCCTTATTACTTAAACCATAATGGCCACTTACATAATATTTGTAATGCATTGAAGATTATAGGCAATCTAGTTGGCATTTAAACTGCAAACAAATATATAATGATATTAACAATTAATATACCAATTTATATAAAGGACTTAGGTATCTCTCGAGATTTTACACATTCCAATTTTCATGCCCTTTGGGGTCCTGGAAATGAACCTCAGTGGGTGCCATGAGTCACAGTCTGATAAACAAAGTAAAGAAAGAAGGCATAAACAAAAGGAATCTAGCACAGTACTAATAAATATTTGGTAGTTAATGTATGCTGGCTGATCATAATGTTGTCCAAGTGTTCTCATGGTTTAATCATTTGTAGGTGCCTTTATCATGATCTCTCCCAGCCAAAAGAATGTGGGAAATAAGTTTCTTTAGAACCAGCAAAGTCTTTCTTGATACAGTCAAGGTAAACAAGAATTTTAAACTGGTAATTTCTTTCCTATCAAGTTCCTTCTGTTGAAAAGTCTCATAACACTGTTACAGTCTTACTTCTGGTCTTACTAAAGATTTGTATTTATAGTCTCCTAAATATTAAGATAACCATATGTGCCTTTGTTATAAGTTATGGAGGTTAAATAACACCAAAAGGATTCTCTAGGTTTATACCACCTACACATTGGTAAGGATGAAACAATCTCTACTTCACTTCAACTAACTTACAATTTTATTTATTGAGTGAGAGCAACATTAACACGATTATGAACCTACCCATAGCACCTGATACATTATTTAATTTTAGTTTTTTTTGTTTATTTGTTGTTTATTTGCTTGTTGGTTTTGTTTTGTTTTACTTGTTTTAAAATAGGGTCTCCCTGTAGACCAGGCTGACCTCAACCATGCTATGTAAAACAGCCTAGCCTTGATCTCACAGACATCTACTTGCCTCTGTCTCCCATGTTTTGGGATTAAAGGCGTGTGTCACCACGCCCAGCTGCTTGTAGATTTTAAAATCATTGCTTATACATAGGTACTTCATATTTTTTCCATAAAGGAAGTTGAAGTTAAGTAAATTTATTAGTTAGCTCAGAAACATAAATATACAAAAAAATAGATATAGGATTCTGGGGATATGGCTCAGGAGTTAAAGAGCTTGCTGTGCGAATGAGAGGATGAGAAGTCAGATCTCTAGGACCTATATAAATGCCAGATGAGTGTGCCTCTGAAAGCAAAAAGAATGTATCCCCAAAGCATAAAAAAGAGATGAGGGTGTCCCTGAAAGAAAAAAAAAAGTATCCCCACAGCAAGCGAGGTAGACACACACACACACACACACACACACACACACACACACACACACACCAGAAAAGAAGAAAACGATGGATCCCCAAAGCAAGCCAGTTAGATAGTCAAATTGGCAAGCTCTGTGTCTAACTGAGAGAACCTTCCTCTCAAAAAATAAAGTATAAGAGCTAATGAAGAAAATCTCTCACAACAACCTCAGGTCTCCATGCTCCTATGCAGATATGTGCAAGTGTAATACCATACACATCTGTGCCCTACACGTGCAAACACTCACATATATATGTGCATACACAAACACACACATCAGAAAAGAAGAAAATATATAAATATGATTTGTTTACAAGTTTGTTGTCTTTGTACAAACTTTTGAACATTGTTTCAACTACCTTAACCCTGTCCCTGTTCATCTTCAAGGCTAGAAGTTCTAGTCAATTAATACATACCAAAGAAATAGCCATGGAGTGTGCCTTTGATAAGGGATTCGTTGGGCACCAGTGAATTGACTAATTCTTATTTACTATGGCCTCTGGGAAACCAGTTGTTGCATGAATGTGTGAAATATCAACAGCTAGAAAATAAAATTATTGGAATCCAGGAATGCTTGCAAATTTTATTTATGAATATGTTGTAAAAAGTGGTAATTAATCCTCTGGATATTTCTTAGCTCTTTGGAAGATTCAGAATATACATATTACATGAAACCAAACAGTGTCTGACCAGTTACTTTAACAACTAAACTTGGTATCTCTGTGGTTTGCTCAACCATTATTGTTGTCCAGGAAATGCCCTTTCACCTTCTTTCCACAATACTTCAGATTCAAATGTTTTGCCATAAATAACTTCTCATACTGAGAAATTTGACACTGTTAATCCTCACCTTTGAGAGTCCTTGAGTCCTTTTACGATTCTCAAGTTATCCTAAGAAGGTGAGATGGACTCTAAAAATAATCTACACTGTCTGGCTACTAATCACTATCTTAGATTTGTTTGTAGCTGTGTCACTACTGAATCATTTGTTACGTTGTTTTGAAAGAATTTACCAATAAATATTTTCCAGTACCATTAATTGGGTTTCGGTACAATACCAAATTCTTTAACAATTCTTATTATTTGTGGGAGATTTAATAAAGATATCACCTTTTTAATTGTCTTAGCATCTAGTCTAAGGGATGCACATTCCATTTCTAATGAAAAACAAATAGCTAAAAAGAAAGAGGAATAACAGGTATGCCTATCTACATATATCTACCTACCAATCTAATTGGCTAGATAGTTAATACAGGTAATGAAAAGACAAGGCTAGCCAATCAACTTAACAGAAAATTATGTGCCACCCCATTTTCTCTAGTGCTACTAAATTTACTAAGTCCCTGTTTGTTCACTGCCTATTTCCCCATCCCTGAATGTTTTATTTAGTGTCTTTTTGGAATATTTCTCTCAATAGAGGAACTAATTATATGCCCATTTGAAATTCTTAATTTTGCAGAGTGCCATGTCATATATCAAACAGATACTCTAGATCTTTGAAAAACGCTAGAGTATCAACAGCTATATGATTTTTATGAGCTACTATTGATAGTCTAAATACTTACTTAAAATAAAAATTAAACAATAATAAAAAAATGAAACTTATGCAATGTACGCCAGTTAAATATAAGTTTAGCAAAACCTGCATTTTTCCTTGAACAGCCAGACATATTGCCAGCACACCTTGTCTTAGCCTGAGTTCATTGTTTTATATGGTATCATGTGGCAATGACTAATTATCATAAGCTGTCCAATAAATATGATGGATTGTACAATTAACTGTTCATCAGCATCCATTTTTGAAGATGCTCCCTATTGAAACTGATGGTGGTTTATGACCTCCATGTTGCATATATGGCTAATTGCACCTTGGACAATAATTATTGTTTCCTGTGCCTAATTTAGTCGTTTTGTTTTACAAATTATGATGCCACAGAGTTTCCCAATTCATTTGACTTCACAACTATGACTCTCCCAGGATTACTAAAGGTCTGTTTCAGAAGGTGTGCATGATGGGTGTATCAAAGGAGATTACAGACCTATCTTTGTTTTGTAGGTTTTCCATCGACCGTCACACTGACCTGGAGAGACAGTTCAACATTAATGCAGATGATGGGAAGATAACACTGGCAACTCCCCTTGACAGAGAATTAAGTGTCTGGCACAACATCACCATCATTGCCACTGAGATTAGTAAGTACCTGAGCTTATTTGATTCTTCCTTGTGTGACTATGCTCATTAGGTGCCAATTGGTCACTTAATAAAGGATCTGTTTCCTTAGGTGTTTTTCCATTGGGACTTACTTCACTGTTCCCAATAATCCTTTAAATGCATCATCCTAACACAAAATCATTTACATTAGAGTAAATTACCAAATGTTTATAAGACATGTGAGAAGGAGACATTCTTATATCTGAATATTTTCCATCATTTACCTACCACAGACCCATTAACATAGCATCTTTAATATAAATTCAACAGGATATTTTTTTCTAAAAATTATATGCAAAATATGCTATTTTATAGGAAAGAAGATGTATTATTAGCATGATACTTTTGCCTTTTAGTTTTGATAATTGTAGGTTCTTTATAGTTAATGAAACTACTACAGTAGTTATCTGGTAAATCCAGGATGACACATCTTTGCAAGCTTGACTCTGCGAAAAGGTGGGATGGGGGCTTAGACTCCATCACTCTTGCACAAAGATGGGTGTGCCCATCAATGTCTGCAACCCCAGTGCTGGAAACAGTGAAGACAGATCACGACCATCTTCTGTCTAACCAGGTTAGCCAAAACAGCAAGCTCAAGGCTTAGTGAAAAACATCACCTCTAAAATGGAAATGAAAAAGTGATTGAAGAAGGCATTTGAAAGTCAGTCTCTGGCCTCCACACGCACTCATATGGGCAAGCACACCAGCACACACACACATTAACTTACCACATAATTTCTATGAAAAAAGAACATTCTTTTCATTTTATTTCTCAGGAATATACGTACTTGCATAGTAGTTAGATATGTTTTCATAAAGAATGTGATAAAGCCTTCAAGGCTGAGCACAAATTCAAGGTGATTACAATGAATTGTTAAAAGAGTCGGGAAAGAAAATCTGAATAATGAAAATAATAATAACCCCTGAACTTAATCTGTAGCAATAAAATAAAGTTAAGAAATAGATGAAAAAAATTAAAAAAAGAAAATTAAGAATCATACACCACACACACACAGACACACACACACACACACACACACACACACAAGGATGCAGAAGACAATTAGAGGTACACATCATAAAATTCACTCTGTATTCTCTGATAGCAAGCGTACAAACCAGAGAACTTTCTGTGATATGCATGGGCAGATGTCACCTTGGTGCAAAGAATGGGAAAATGGGGAATGTGATGAGAAGGTCCCTGAAAAGAACCTCAGCAAAAGGACATTGGTAGCTGGGTGTAGTGCTGTCCACCTATAATCATAGCATTGAAGAGACAGAGGCAGGGAAAGCTGGAATTCTGGACCAAAATGGGTTATATAGTGAGACCCTGGCTCAAAAACAAATATACACAAGACAGAATTAAGACAAAGAAGGACATCGTATGAGGCAATGCATGCTGAAGTCAAAAGGGTATATGGGTCTAGATAGACACAAGGCCTTGGAAACTGTGCATTCCCTGGTTTCCAGACACCATTTTCTTCCCTCAGGCCTTACTCTGACTCTAATTTGCTTCCTTATACCATTAAGGGCCCAAGCAAACAAAGCATATCATTTCCTGGTTTGAGTTTATTAGAAGTGTTAAACCCATTTAGAAGTGTACAGACATGAAATTTTTATAATTTGCAATGCTGAAGCACCATTATCACTTTAAGCCTCTAAGAAAAACTATATCTAGTTCAATTAACTTAAGACTGTACAACGCTTGAAAGAAAAACAATGTTATTTAAAGGTTATAAGCAGTAGTTTCTTTTAAAAGAATTTCTGCACTGAATACAATCTACCCAAGTTAACCTTAACCTGTGTTCCATTTTTAATGACATGATGCTGCCACTTTATCAAGGTTGTCCCAATTATAGGCAATCATGTTCTTTGAGGTAAGGAATTCACCAAACAGGTGTTTAAGAAACATTTCAGGGCAATGCAGAAACAAAAGACTGATTTTCAAAGAATCTCAAAATGAGGAAAGCAGGTGCTCAGGAGACACTGAGCTGTTAACTCCAGAATGAGAAGGGAACCAAAGCCAGTCCGGGATGGTAGGCATGGGTTGTTTCCTTCAAGTCAGTGGGTCTTTGTTTGACAAGCATACATCTAATGTCTATGGATAGTGCAAGGAATAAAACAATCAAAAGGCCTGCTTTCCTTAGGATTTTCCCTCCTTGGGTCTCCAATGAAAGAGAACATTGGAATGGCATAAGTTAGCCATAAAAAGAGGTATAGAGGTGAGATAGACCATGAGCACCCAAAACCCAACCTGTTCCATGTTGATGCATAGAAAAAAGGCAAAAGGGACCTCCATTGATGAAATGAGTTATTAATTATATTTCATAAGTTATTTCATAATAAAATGAAGAAACAGTCATATATTAGGGAAATGGCATTATTATTTTTGAAATATTATCATGATTAGTATTACAAATGCGGGGAAAGAAAATTAGAAAGTCACCAAAATAAATTTTGTATATATTTTCATAGTAATGACTCAAATTTGTTCCTGACAAAGTCTTCAGTTTGGACACATGCAGAATATGAATACACATACCCCTGCCTTCTGATGAGCTTCAGCTTTATCGTAAACCTAAGAGAATCTGGAATTTATAAAACAAGCATATCTTATTTTGTTGAAATAAATTAGAATCATTTTATTACGTGTGTGTATGTATATGTGTGTTGTGAACGTGCGTACATGGGTGTGCTTGCCTATGTGGGCACATGTGGAGACCAACATTTGACATTGGGTATCTTCCTTAACCACTTGCCCACCCATTTTTCCAAGCGTGGTCTCTCATTGAATCTGAATCCCACCATGTTGGTTGCACTGGCAAGCCAGTGAGCTTCCAGGATCCCCCTGTTCCTGCCTCACTAGAGTTACAGGCTTATATTGACACATTTAAGTACTAGGGATCTGAACTCATGTACTTCCTGTTGCATAGCAAGTACTTTACTCTCTGAACAATCTCACCAATGCCCTTACTTTATTTCATTTATCTCAGAGATTAAAACTTCCACAAGCTTCATTGATACATTTCTGCCAAGAAACAAATAATTCAGGTTCAAAAATCTTAACAAGTACTGAGATTAAAAAAAAAACTGTCAATTTCATTTTAAAAAGTCATTACAAACATCTTAATACTAACAACAATGAAAATATAAGATAGATTTTAAATTTTGCCTTTAAAAAACACTAATGTTGGCATAAATTTCAAAACTTTAAAAGCATAATTAACCATTTTAGTGAAATCATGAAAGAAAGCAGAAATATTAGAATCACAGAAAACTTAAGAAAAATTGGAATAACTGGGAAAATAGTGTAGAAAATTGTTTTGACTGCTTTACCTTTTAATGCATCACATAATATTTACCTTTGAAAGCCATAGACCAAATCTTGGGAAAAATATTAAAGGGCTGTTTATTGTATTTGTCCAAGATGAATATTAAAGCTGCTCAGGATAACAGAACCCCATAGGACGAGGTTATAATAATGACAGAGAAATATTCATTCCAGGGAGAACAATTTGAAATTACTTTCAGAATGCCATTTCATCAGACAAAAAGATTTAAACAAATGAAATTAAGCTAAGAAGTGGATTTTAGGGAAGTCCATCTGTTGTCTATTATGTGAATGGAGAAGTCATCCTTTATCCTCTTGTGTCAGATTAACTTAAATGAGGCCGAGATAGCTCACTGTGTGCATTGCCCAAGTATTGCAGTGGTTATAGATCTAGCCTGACATCCTGATCAATTGGCACATCTCATGAGACCCATGTGCCTGCAGTAAGATGCCCATATGCTAGAAAGAGATTAGACTGGAGTGGTAGATCTCTGCTAGCAACTAGCTCACCTTGAGAAACTATAGTCTATGGATGTTTTTAATCATGATATGAAAATTTTAAGTTAACGTTTTCTGACCAATTTAATATTGAAATGGGATTACATAAACACTAAAATGCTTTTATCCTTTATAATGCTCTTTGAAAGTAGTTA